AGCCTAGCTTTTCCTTAGCTAATTTTTATTCGTGTCGGTTTGATATGTCTTGTTTAGGTCACAAGCTCCTTACAAAGGAATTCTATCCAGAGCTAGTACTAAAAACAGTAATTAATATTATTAGTTAATACCCATTTAAACTGTTTTTTTGAGATGGGGTTTTTGCTCTTGTTGCGCAGGTTGGAGTGCAGTGGCACAATCTTGACTCACTGCAACCTCCGCCTCCTGGGTTCAAACGATTCTTCTGACTCAGCCTCTCGAGTAGCTAGGATTACAAGTACATCCCACTACGCCCAGGTAATTTCTTTGTATTTTTAGTAGAGACAGGGTTTCACAATGTTGGCCAGGCTGGTCTTGAACTCCTGACCTCAGGTGATCTGCCCGCCTCAGCCTCCCAAAGTGCTGGGATTACAGGCATGAACCACTGTGCCTGGCTAAACTATTTGTTTTAATATTTAAACTGAAAAACAATTTTCACTGACATTTCATTTCATGTACATTTCATTACAATTTTGTAATACATTTACAAATTTGTATTTGTAGATATGGGCTGGGCATGGTGGCTCACGCCTATAGTCATAGCACTTTGGGAGGCTGAAGTGGGAGGATCAGTTGAGACCTGGAGTTTCAGACCAGCCTGAGCAATATAGGGAGATCCCATCTCTACAAAAAAAGAAAAAAAAATTAGCCCGGCTTGGTGGCACATGCCTGTAGTTCCAGCTACTTGGGAGGCTAAGGTGGGAGGATCGCTTGTGCTCAGGGGGTTGAGGCTGCAGTGAGCCGTGATCACACCACTGCATTCCAGCCTGGGCCACAGAGCAAGACCCTATCTCTAAAAAAATAAAAAACAAAAAATAAAAAAAATTTATAGATGTGGAAATATCCTGAACTCCACACTTGTGAACACAGACACTGCCACTGTCAGCCAGCACATAATACATATATCCATCCATACGTAAGCAAATATCACTCACTCACATAATTGCCTTTGATTTGAAAATACCGTTTCAACTTTAGTCACAGAAGAGATGCTCAGCCATCTGCATGTAATTTGTAGCTGAAACTACCCTTTTGTGTAGACAAATTGGCTGTTCCATGGTGTTGATAGAAACCAGATATACTTGTATTTAGATCCTCAGCCATCTGGGTCAGTGGGTTATGGGAGAGAGGGTGGATGTCACTGAAGAGATTCCCATAACAGCAACAGAGAAAGGTTTAGGGGCCATGGTCTTCCTAAGAGGCTGAGAAATCTCACATAACCTCATCTGCTCCAGGCCAGCCCGGACAGAAAGTAGATTAATGAAGGTTAAGCAGTCTGGATAGAAAGTTGAGCTTCTCCTTTTTGTAAAGGAGAAAAAGCCAAGCAGAGATGTAATTTCAGCAGAGATCTCAAAAGAGGGCAGAGAAAGGAGTATTTAGAGAATAAAGGGAATTTACAAATATATTCCTCTATCGATCACACAAAATACTCGTTTGAATGTCAGTTTCCTCCTTCATATGTTTAAAAGTTTATTAAAGAAGTAATGATTATTGTTTCTTTTAACAGTTACACATTTTTAAAGTATTTTTTCTTCTTAACAAAATACAGAATGCCCTCCCCCAAGTACACTGTATCAAATTAATGTGATTGCAAAATTCCCCAGCACAGTTTGGGAAGGTCAAGTGCCAAGTGGCCCTATGTGAGGGATGCTGCTTTTCTGAAAACAAACACAAAAAGCTTAGTTGTGCTTTTTCTTTTTTTTTTTTTTTGAGATGGAGTTTCACTCTGTCACCTGGGCTGGAGTGCAGTGGCTCCATCTCAGCTCACTGTAACCTCTGCCTCCCGAGTTCAAGCAATTCTCCTGCCTCAGCCTTACCAGTAGCTGGGAGTACAGGAGTGTGCTGCCATGCCTGGCTAATTTTTGTAGTTTTACTAGAGATGGGGTTTTGCCATGTTGGCCAGCCTGGTCTCGAACTCCTGACCTCAAGTGGAGGAGGCCTCAGACTCCCAAAGTACTGGGATTACAGGTGTGAGCCACTGTACCTGGCCCAGACCACGATTTTCAAGGGCTCTATGGACATGTGCTGTTAGGCTTTAATCAGAATAAATGTCAAGATCTTTTCTAATTTTAAAATTGGAATCTATTGTTCATAAAAGTTAGAAAGTGCTGTAGCAATATTTATGTTTTTTTTTTCCTTTTCTTTCTCTTTAAGAGCAAAAAAGAAAAGGATTATGTTCCTGAGAGAATTTGTGATTGTTCATTAAGACAAAGTCAGTCATCAACTAAGTTAAATAGTGACTATGCTGCAGAAAACAACTGGCAGCTATTCAGTTTTAATTTCCACACTTGAATATGATAAATAGTTCCTTTCAGACTCTTAAAAAAAAAAATCCCACTAGTGTTAAACTTCAGCAGTTTCAAATGAGAGGTCTCTAGTGGTGCTGGTTGGGCTCTCTGGGAAGCAGATGCTGAGACAGGGTAGGGGTGGAAAAGATTTTGTGGGGAAGTAAAGTCTGCCAAGACGAAGGGGAAGGAAGCAGGCTTGGGCAGGAGGAGCCAGCGGACCCAATCAGACTTGACGAAGACTGTGGCAAAGCCAGGAGAGCCCTGAGCACAGATAGTACATTAAAAGAGTCTTCTGTGCGGCGGAAATGTCTATGCCCTTGTCTACTGCCTGCCTCCATCACTGCTACGGGCCACCCGTCACCAGCCACGCTGCTTCCAGCTGGGCTCCATGTGTCGTGGGAGTATCAGAGAAGCGCCAGGGCCTTCAGTGACACGTGCTAGCCACACTTTTACTACATTTCTGGAGGAGTCGCTACCTTTCATTCTCAAAAATCTTCAAGTCTTATCCATTTCCCTGCCCCTCACCTTCTCCCTTTCCCAAAGAGACAAGTCTAGGTTCCTCTCACTTTGTTATGCAGAGCAATTTAGCACAATCGAAATAATCCTTCTTTCCCAGTGGACAGTCATCTTCAAAGAGTATTTTCCCTGGATATGAACATGTCAGTCCCTTAATCTGATAAAATGGTTGTGGGAAATTCTTTACGTGGCACTTTCCCCTTTTATTTCAGAGGGAAATAACTGGGCATGGTGAGAACAGACAGTGACATTTGAGAGCTGAAGATGAGAATGTTACTGCCCTAGATGCAGGGGGTGCCCTCCTGGGGTACACTCTTTTGACCTCTCACCTTCTAAGCTCACTTTTGGGGCTTAAAGTTTTACACAGATCAGATTTGGGTTTAGGGTAGGAGTGGTATAGAAGCTAAAGAGTTACTTCATTCAATATTCATGACTTAACTCCTAAAATAGAATATTAGAGATTCAGACACCACCCCTTGCCTCTAGTTGACATTTGATAAGTGTTGATAGGGATGTTTAATTAATAGTTAATTCTGTACAAAGAAGAAATTTTACTCTATAAACTCAGAAGTATAAGAAGTATCTTATATTTCTGAGTATTTGTTTAAAACCAAATGGGCATGCCTATCTCTTTCCTGTACTGAAATTCTGGAGCCTTATGGATATGCATCATTATGAAGACTGTCTTTTCCATAGGATAGGTTCCTAAACATGGAATTTTCAGGTCAAAGGGTAAGTGTATTTTGAATTTGAATATATAGTTCCACATACTGACTCATCCTCAAAAGTGTGTTTCTGATTACCTACACATCACTGGCCTGAAAGTCATCAATCTTTTCAACTGCAGATAGGTAAAAATTCCATTTTGTTTTTATTTTAATTTGCATTTCCCTGGCTACTGGCAAGATTGAGCACTGTTTTATATGCTTATAGCATGTGTACTTCCTTTGATCCACTGGATCATTTATCTTCTTACTGCTTTGTAAAACCCTTATGTAAGTGAGGGCTCTTAACTCTTTTCTGTGTGTATATGCTCATTTAATTTACCATTTGTCTTTTGACTATCTGTAGGCTAGCAGGGACACAGTCCCCTGCCCCTCAGCTCATATTCCAGTTAGAGGATCAGAGGAAAGACAGATAACCTGATAAAGTTACACACAGATAATACATCTCAATAAATGTCAGATGGGGCACTTCTAATATTTGAAGGCTAAATTTGTTTTCTCATTAAAAGTACCTTTAGGCTGGTTACAGTGGCTCATGCCTGTAATCCCAGCACTTTGGGAGGCAACAGCAAGTGCTGTAAAGACTGTGTCTCTACAAAAAATAAATAAATAAATAAGCCAGGTATGGTGGTACATGCCTGTGGTCCCAGCTACTTGGGAGGTGGGAAAATTGCTTGAGCACAAGAGGTAGAGGCTGCAATGAGTTATGATCGCACCACTGCATTCCTGCCTGGGCAACAGAGTAAGACACTGTCTCAAAAAAAACAACAAAAAAACCCCTTTTTAATGGGTAATAAAAATAATGTAACTCCATAGAAGGTTACTGGCATACTGTCATTATTAAGTGAGAGAAAAGATCAGTACTTTTAGTTTTGCCAGAGTTTGACCTCTTTTAACCTCATTCAACTTCTATCTCTTCTCGCATGTCCCTTATCAACCTACCACTCCCAAATTCCATTCTTCCTCAGAATGTTTCTTTCTACTCTTCTCTTTTCAAAAGATTGGTACTTGTAAGTTTGTGATAGAGATGTTGTTTCTTTTTCTTCTTCTCCTTTTTTTTTCTAGAGACAGGGTCTTGCTCTCCAACCCAAACTATAGTGTAGTGAGCTACCATCATAGCTCACTGCAGCCTCAAACTCCTGGGCTCAAATGATCCCCTGACTTCAGCCTCCTGAGTAGCTAGGAAGTACAGGTGCACACCACCACACCTGGCTAATGTTTTAAAATTATTTTTTGTGAGACAGGGGGCTGCTATGCTGTCCAGGCTAGTCTTAAACTCATAGCCTTAAGGGATCCTCCCACCATGGCCTCCCAAAGTTCTGGGATTGCAGGTGTGAGCTACTGCACCCAGATGGAGATTTTGCATTGATCACCACTGTGCCTTTAAACTCTAAATAGATACATAAATGACATCTGAGAAGTCTTACTTTCTTCAAATAGTTGATTATGCAAAAAGAAGTTTCAAATTTTAGTATCTTAAAATCGGAGAGCCTATTTCCCTGTTTAGTATTCACTCACTTAACAGATATTGATTGCATACCTCCATATACTAGGCACTGTTTTAAGTGCTGTGGGTGTAACATGACATCCATGTGTTCCTGGAACTTACATCCTAGTCTGGGGGAAGAGTGACATTAAGCTAGTAAAAACATAAGTATATAATATATCAGATGGTGATATATACTGCAAAGAAAAAAATAGGGCAGCATAAGTGGGGGGCTACAAGATGAATTGTGTTCCCCCCACCAAATTCCAACCTCCAGTACTGGGAATGTGATATTATTTGGAAAGAGGTTCTTTGAAGATGATCAGGTCAAAACGAGAGCACTAGGATGGACCCTAATCTCAGATGACTAGTGTCCTTATACAATAGGGAAATCTGGACACAGACATGCACACAGGGAGAATGCCATGTAAAGAAAAAGGCAGAGATCAGGGCAATGCTTCTGCAAGCCAAGGAACACTGAAGACCGTCACCAAACCACCAGAAGCTAGCAGAGAGGCACAGCACAGATTCTTCCTCGTAGCCTGCTGAACAAAACAACTCAGCTGACAACCTGATCTCAGACTTCTCGCCACCAGAACTGTGAGACAACAAATTTCTGTTGTTCAAGACACTCAGTTTGTGGTGCTTTATTATTGTAGCCCTATGGGACTAATACAGAGAGGGAAAGGAAGATTTTAGATGGGGGGTGAGGAAAGTTGACATGTGAACACATACCTGAATTGGGTCAAACAGTTCACTGTGAGTCGCATACATTAGGTAGAGGGAACAGCACATGCGAAGGAAGGCCCTCTGGTGGGAGCATGCTTGGCGTGTGTAAGGAACACCAAGTCAGGATACCTGATGTATAATGAACAAAGTGGGGGGAAAAGGGAGGGGACAGGCTAGACCATGTTGGGACCTGTGGCCATGTGTGGACATCTGGCCTTTTCTCTGGTAAGATGAGAAGGTACTGGAGGGTTGTGAGCAGAGAAGTGACACCCCCATTGTCACAAGTAGAGAATTCAGTTTTCGGTTAAGCAGAAAATAAGTTCCAAGTTCCTGGTTTATGGTTTTGCTTGTGCATCTGAGTTAGCCAGGACTCTTGGGTTGCAAGTGACAAAGATCCAACTCAAACTCTCCCAAGCAAGGGAAAGAATTTACTAGCTCACATAACCAACAACAAGCCTATGAATACTTTAGGCACAGCTAGAATTTGGGGATCAACCCATATTGTCAAGAATCTGTCTCCTTTTATTCTTCTTCAGCTCTGCTTTTTCTCTGTTGACTTCATTTGCAGGCAGGCTCTTACAGTATTGCAGCAAAAGAACCCCCACCAGCTCTAGAGTTTCATGCTTCTCAGTGTAGGAAGTATCAGGCAATGTTCTGTCTTCTTCACCATCTATATAATCCCCCTCAAAGTGCTGGTTGACTTCCTCAGGTCATGTGCCGACACCTGCAGTAATCAATGATAATTTCTAGAGATAATACTCCAATTGGCTGGCCTGGATCATGTCTACTACTGTGGAAAGAGAGCAGACCCACAGGCTGGACTGTCTGGGTGGATGAGCATTTACCAAAAGAAAAGAGTTCTGTCAAGGTGGTGTTGCACAGCTCCAGACTCTAATCCATTTTATAGTCCATCTGTTTGGGACCTCCTGGAGTTGTGCAGTGTACAACCTGAGAGGCCATACACAGGGGTTCTTGGTTTTATAACCTAAATAAGGAGGAAAGGAAGCTGGGCAGCCCAAACAGCAGGCATCCCCTACTGTATCTAATTACAAAGTTAATCATTTGTAACTTTAAGAAAGGACTTTTTAAAGAAAAGACTATTTATGACAAGGTATTGGCTGGACTTCTGGCTTCCTGGAACAAAATATGACATAAAATTCAAATCTACAGTAGATATGTAAATACATTTGTTTTAATTTACCCAGGGAACAATACCTAATAGTTCTAACTGAGGCACACTTTTAAACTTAGGACAAGCAGATAATTCACCTTTGACAGCAATAGTATAAATGGAGTTATAATTCATAAATGCGATGGTTCTTCCTTCTAAGAACTTTGAGCATTCGCTTATTTGATAACCATTAATATTGATAGGTACTGTGTTGGAAATTGCAAATATAGTAGAAGAACCAAACAAACTTGGTTCCCTTCCTCAAGAGTGAGATGGACATTTGGCAATGAACATACAATACATACTTTTATTTATTTATTTATTTATTTATTTATTTATTTTATTTTTTTGTTGAGACGGAGTCTCGCTCTGTCGCCCAGGCTGGAGTGCAGTGGCCGGATCTCAGCTCACTGCAAGCTCCGCCTCCCGGGTTTACGCCATTCTCCTGCCTCAGCCTCCCAAGTAGCTGGGACTACAGGCGCCCGCCACCGCGCCTGGCTAGTTTTTTGTATTTTTTAGTAGAGACGGGGTTTCACCGTGTTAGCCAGGATGGTCTCGATCTCCTGACCTTGTGATCCGCCCATCTCAGCCTCCCAAAGTGCTGGGATTACAGGCTTGAGCCACCGCGCCCGGCCTACAATACATACTTTTATATAGTGATAAGTATCAAGAAGGAAAAGAACTGGGTTCTATCAGAAAAATTAGTAGGAAGTGCGGAGCTGATTTAGACTGGGATCAGGGACTTACTTGAACTTGTGACATTTAAGAAGAGTGGTGAGGGATAAATAGAAATTAGCCAGATCAAGAGTGAGAAAGAGAGGAAGAATATCCCAGGCAGAGGAACTGACACAGGCAAAGGCTTTAAAGAGCTTAAGATATCACCAGACATTCCTGGCCAGGCCCACTGTTATCCCAGATGCTTACCATTTCCATTGTTTATTGACGTCCATAATATTTCAAGTGAACTAAATCATATACATCATCTTTTCATCATTACCTGGTAGACTGAATGTTTAGATTCTCCCCTGTGATTGTGCCTTACATATATTAGTGTATTAATATATGAAGATCACAAAGTGATAAAAGTGTTCAAAAGGTAGAATTTATTAAAGGATGATTATATACTTATTTCATGTTGACAATATGTCTTCAATTGCTTTGCAATCTTTTAACATTTCTGTTTTTATAACTTCATGGTAAGAAAAAGAGGATGAAATGAGTTAGAAAGAGCTGGAGACACCATGTGTAGACAGGAATTTCACATTTAAAGTTAATTCTCGGAAGTTCTCTTCTGGCATCTGCTAAGTGAAGGATGGAGACCTGGGTCCTAACTACTGGTGAGCAGTTAAAACTTGAACATTTGGCCAGGCGCGATGGCTCATGCCTGTAATCCTAGCACTTTGGGAGGCTGAGGCGAGCATATCACAAGGTCAAGAGATTGAGAGCATCCTGGCCAACATGGTGAAACTCTGTCTCTACTAAAAATACAAAAATCAGCTGGGCATGGTGGTGCATGCCTGTAGTCCCAGCTACTTGGGAGGCTGAGGCAGGAGAATCACTTGAACCCGGGAGGTGGAGGTTGCAGTGAGCTGAGATTGTGCCATTGCACACCAGCCTGGCGACAGAGCCAGACTCCATCTCAAAAACACGAAAAACAAAAAACAAAACTTGAACGTCATGGTCCAAGTCCTTCATCAATCAGAGTCCCGACAGGAGACAGAAAAAAATAATTTGGGGTGCTTTATATACAAAGGGACTATTTTCACAGGTCTATGTATGCAGGCATCTGGTGCTTCCTCCTCCTCCTCCTCTTCCTCTTTTTTTTTTTTTTTTTTTTTTTGAGACAAGGTCTTGCTCTGTTGCCCAGGCTGGAGTGCAGCAGCACAATCATGGCTCACTGTGGCCTCAAGCTTCTGGGCTCAAGTAATTCTCTTGCCTCAGCCTCCCGAGTAGGTAGGACCACAGGTGTACACCGCCATGCCCAGCTAATTTTTGTGTTTGTGTGTGTGGCCACGGGTTTCACCATGTTTCCAGGCTGGCCTCAAACTCCTCAGCTCAGTTGATCTGCCTGCCGTGGCCTCCCAAAGTGCTGGGACTACAGGTGTGTGCCACCACGCCCCACCCATCTGGTGCTTCTTAATGAGCTGTAGGCACAATGGGATGAGGAGACTGAAGTGAGGGGTCATACAGAGGCATGTGGAGTCATGTAGAGTCATGGAGACAACCTTATAGGAAGGGAACAAGGGGATTAAGCAACCTGACTTTCCTTTCCTTCATCTCTCCCTCCCTGTCTTTGATTCTATATGAACGCAATTAGAAGCCAGAAGTCACGAGCATCCATCCATGTGGTCCATACAGTTCAGCCCTCCAGGTAGAAAATAGGATAAAGAGGAAGAGTAAATCTGACTTAAAGAGGCAAACGTATTTTGCCATAAATGTCCACAGACCTTCTACCAACCCTTAGGTGTTTAACTAGCCAGTAGCTGGTTGTCTAGTTCTATCCAGTTTTTCCTGATAATATTTCATAGAGGCTGGGTGTGTATTAGAAAATAACAAAAGGGTTTATCTGCTGATTCCTAGGATACCCTACAAATTGGATAGGTAGTGTCAACTCCTGCTTTTCTAGTTTCAGAGTTATTTACTGTGGGGTTTTTTTGTTGTTGTTCTGACATCTAGCTAGTCAACTCCGAAAACTGTACAATCCAACAGACTTCTGCAATCATGTGCCTTGGAACAAGTCCCTAATTAAATGATGACATCCTTTGAAGAAAGACATTTTGTCATACTGCTATCACCTCCACTGCTTATCTTGGTTTTTCAGTATTACAGAAGTTTCCAAACATGAAAAATATGGAAAATAAGATAATGTATATTCATATGTCTGCCATCCTGATTTAGACAATTTTAATAATTTGACATGTTTGCTTCAGAATTTTTTTTTTCTGAGACAGAGGGTCACTCTGTCACCCAGGCTGGGTGCAGTGATCATGGCTCATTGCTGTCTTAACCTCCAGGGCTTGAAAGATCCTCCCAACTCAGCCTTTGAGTATCTGGGACCCCAGGTATGCATCACCATGCTTTGCTTTTTTTTTTTTTTTTGTAGAGATGGGGTCTCCCTATGTTGCCCAGGCTGGTCTTGAACTCCTGGGTTCAAGCAATCCTCCCGCCTTGGCCTCCCCCAGTGCTGTGATTACAGGTGTGAGCTACCACACCTGGCCTGCTTTAGAATTTTTTTTTTTTTTTAGAATTTTTAAATAAATAAAATATCACCAATACAGTGAGGGTTTCTTTTTACCTCCCAGTACCTCCTATTCATTCATTCATTCATTCATCCATTAACTTTCATATCAGAAAAATGTTTGAGCAACTACTCACTAGACTATAAAGTCAGGGGATGAATACAAATAAGCTTAAGTCTTGTTCCCTTTCCTCAAGGTGCTCCCAATCTGTTTTGTGGGGACAGACAGGAAAACATCTGAGAAGACAGGTGGGGGTGGGAAGAAAGGGTTTGCAACCCAGACATTGGGATAAAAACACAAGCATAAAGATGCCCATTAAACACAAATTGTATTGAACTGATTGAACTGATCTTGGTACATTAGTGGACAGCAACCCAATGCAGGTGCCAAAAGAGAAATGAGAAAGAGAAGGAACAGGACAAGATGAAGAAAGAAGAAATTACATCATATGCCTTTAGGCTCCTAACCACTTCCCCCTACAATACACACAATGGGTGATGGGGTGATGTTCACAGATATGCTATATTCCCTGGGTACTTGACTTAGGGGCTATGGCATAGACAAGATATTTGTGGTTTCTGGTACATAGCTGTAACTCCACCCTTTTCTCTCCCATGTTGAAAATGACATTATCCCCAGGATAACCTGAAGTAATCTCATATATATATATATATATATATATATATATATATATATATATATATGGTTTTTTTTTGTTTTGTTTTGTTTTGTTTTTTTAGAGACAGAGTCTCGCTCTGAGGCCCTGGCTGGAGTGTGATGGCATGATCTGGATCATTGCAACCTCCACCTCCCAGGTTCAAGTAGTTCTCCTGCCTCAGCCTCCTAAGTAGCTGGGACTATAGGTGTGCACCACCATGCCCAGTTAATTTTTGTATTTTTAGTAGAGACGGGGTTCTGCCATGTTGGCCAGGCTGGTCTCAAACTCCTGGCCTCAAGTGATCTGCCTGCCTTGGCCTCCCAAAGTGCTGGGATTACAGGCATGAGCCACTGCACCCCTCCTCATCTCTAATATATACACAAAGCAAATGATAGTATTTTCAAACTTTAGTTATTTATTCTAATTAGAAACAACTTGTGCAGAAACAACCCACCATACCCATGTGACAACTATGACAAGTCTTGTCTGTGTCTTATGTAGGGGTCATCAATCTTCCTCTTCCTACCTGTGATTTTGTGTGCATTAAATCTCTGGAACATTTAGCAGGTATGCCCCAGAATGGCTGATGGTCCATTAGGTGTGAACAGAGAAAAAAAAACCTAAAGAAATGACAGCTATGGTATTGAAAAATTGGC